GATCCAATTGTGACTCTTGGATCACTCGACAACTGCCCCGGATGTAGTAGCTACTCAGCAGGGACCATATATGAAACGATGGCACCTATGCCGCGTGATTAATATGCTCCACTGCCTCGTGGTGCTCGACCCCAGACTCGCCATGTGTCTGGCTACCACCGACCACAACAACGGTCGTGAGCCCCAGTGTTCTACCCTGGGTTACTCCCTGGAAGTTATATGTCAACAGAGGGTGTTGTAATATATATGTTGGGGATAATTAGTTGGAAATAATTATCTCATGTTGAGTAGTGGACCCATGTCTCTGCTGGTTTCAGTATTAACGTGTATGTTGAGTAAAGTCTTGTATCTGTACTGTAATGCCACGTACCACCAGTAGGTGTGAGAAGTACAGGAATCTACAATGAGTGCCATGTACTATGTATTGTAAGTAGGGCCAAGGAACTGGTCCTGCTATGTATGTAATATAACACCAGTAAGGTTGTGTGCAGCAAGAGTGTAAGATCTGAATAATTACTGTTGAGTAAAGAAATAAGAAAATAAGTAAAGAAGGAAGTACTTTGTCTGCAATAAGCCCAGGAGTTGAGCCTAGTAGTTATATGCTAATAATATATATTTTCCCCTTTGATTTCATATTAATAAACTGGTTCTTAGTGAATTTTAGGTGTATTCATTTCTCCCACAGTATTTTACCTTTATTTCCGTCCAAGTGACTTGATACCAGAATTACCATACCCATTTGCCTAGACCCTCGACTATGCTACCAAAAGAATGACCATGCTACCAAAAGAATGTCCATGCTACCAAAAGAATATGTGACAGAACTGAGTAAGAGTAAGAACTAAAGATAAGAGAAGCAAGTAAGATAAGGGTGGTGTTAGAAAACACGCGCCCTTACAACAATAAAAGCAGATACTGTAGCCTTAAGTTGTATCTCTGATTATTCCGGAACTGGAAATAATTTTTTTCAAGCAAGTGATTGATAGATTTGTAAACAAAGAGGGCACAGCAGTAGGTGTTAATATCTTCGAATTTTAACATTTTCAAATTAGCAAATTTTTCGTTTGTATGATCTGTTTTTTTTCAAGTAGGTCATTGTCCGTACAACTCTCTTTTGTGCAGTAACCAATGGCTGAATATTACCTAAAACTTTTATGAGTAACTAAATTAAGTTGTATTCATCAGTAACATCTAATTGTTCTAATATACAAAAGAATAAACAAACAAAGCTAAAATACAATAGTTTACCAAAGATATTTGCTATTTTCTGTGAAGTTATCAGTTTCATTTTCTCTAACAATTGTTCACGGAAACTTGGACAAAACGTGAGTTGACTCTTATGAAAATACAGTGTACCTATTAGTTTTCACCTAATATTTACTAAGCTACTTATTTGAGAATCTCCCTTTCCTTGCACAACTTTATTCTTCGGTACTTCACCTTAACTTACTGGAGAAAAGTTGTTGCAATTATCGGGGTTCGTACCTATTTGTGAAAATTGTGATGGGAAGAAAGAAAATTTGTACAGGCCTTTGATTTACACTGAAATATGCAGCTTCATTACATCTGCAAAAATGTAATTTGTATAGGAAAAAATGCTATCATCGACACCGATTTTACAGGAATGAACCATTAAACCACTATCTGTTCCGGAAAATTACTTGTTATAGTTTAACTATGAAATTTACCTGCTCTGTTCGTGTCAAAATCAAGCACATTTAACTGATTTGTTTTTTTTATTTAATTCATCGGAAGGTAAGAAGCTGCTGTGACTGAGAAATGCAACTTAAACATATTATAGGCTAATTGTTGTGCGAGATAATTCCAACTAAAATCTTGCTTTAACAGCAATGAAAAAACACCTGTTACTATCCTCTTGTTTATGACATTAATCACAAATAATGACCAACAGGAAACATGAAGGTAAATATGTAGATATAATTTATGTGTATAACGAGTCATGTGTTATGTGATGTGTATGTTAGTCTTTATTTGGGTATCTAAACAAATTCATTAGTTACATATCAGACGAAATGCAATGATGCGCCTTATGCCTCCAAGTATTATAAACTGATATTATTTAAGTCCAAACCTCGAGAAAGGCGTTATTTACAATGTTTTGGAGTATTTATTATTTCTTCACCTGCTGCAATACGGGGGTAGTACACATTTACCACCAGTGACGTCATCAGCTAATCAGCCCATGATGCACAATACCAGCAGTCTAACCCCCTATATTTTAATTATATTTTAACTACTTATACCTACAGTGCATGTCATTAAGTATATTTGTCAAGAATGAATAAATTGTGGTAAGAGGTCTGTTTTCCTTCTGTTACGAACCCCTCCACCAATTGTCATGATCTACCTACCCAGCACTACGAACCACGCCATCTATTGTCCTGATCTACCTACCCAGCACCACGAGCAACGCCATCTAGGGACGAGACACGAGTATGACTCGTCTTAGTTACCACTCCGGGGTTTCCCTTCTCCATATCCTGGTTGTTGCGTCACTTCCTCCAAGTCTTCTTTGTCAGCTCGAGTTCGAGGAGAGTTCAGTACACTCTGGGAAGTGACCACAGGATCACCTATCCTGGAAACCTACGGCACAGTGACTACCTACCGTCTTCTACAATACTCAGCCTTACTCTTCAGCCATCTCAGCTCCGCACTTAAGTATTTGTAATCTTATATTGCCTCTCCCATGTCCACTTGCTTCAAATTATTGTATGTTGTATAAATATGTATATACTGTTAATGTTTAGGTTAAGTATGGTTAAGGGTAAATTATAGAAAGTTGAATATTTTGGTTAAGGAATTTATGGTACTTTATTATACACAACAAAAACTCCCATCCTTTGTCTACCCTTTTATAGTCCGATTGTCTTTGTTTTGTTTTTTTTGTTGCCTGTTGGGATCTGGGTAGACTTTTAACTATATTCTAAATCCCCAACTCGTAACACTTCCTAGTCGATATTTAACATTATTTACTAGGGCGAGTGTGTGTGTTTGTATAAAACATTGAGCAACATATTTCCCTGGGCGTCTTGTTTATTCAAGAGTCATCTGGAGTCAATAGTTCAGGTTTTCATTTCTGTGAAAGCTCTGACGCATCCCAGCGGTGAGAGGTATACCGGAGAAGTGGACCATCTTGACCCTCCAGTCATGTTCCCAGTCGTTTCTCGAAGATTCAGCAGCGCTACAGTCTTCAGGGCGGATTTACCTGTACATGTGAATGGATTTTATTTATTTTTTCTCGTTTTCTTTGCCTGTCTGTTTGTCTGTCTGGTTATATATCTTCCTGTCTTTTACGCTGTCTATCTCTTAATCGATGTTTCAATCGCAACCTATATTTTTCATTATATATTGTTCATTCCTTCTTTGCATATATCTTCCTTTCTTGGTTAGTCTCTCCGTTCTTATATTTCCCTGCCATTGTCTATTTGTCTGTCTATTTAAGTGTCTAGATGCCTTTCTGTCTGTCTGTCTGTCTATATATGTAAAACCAAAAAACGTCTGTTGGTCTTCGAAGACAAAAGGAAAATCTAAGTGTGTCCTTCTGAGTCTATAGGTGGATGTCCCATTTGAGTCTATAGGTGAGTGTCCTTCTGAGTCTATAGGTGAGTGTCCATCTGAGCCGATAGGCGAGTGTCCATCTGAGTCAATAGTTGAGTGTCCTTCTGAGGCTATAGGGGAGTGTCCATCTGAGTCTATAGGTGAGTATCCATGTGAATCTACAGTTCAGTGTCCTTTTGAGTCTATAGGGGAGTGTCTTTCTGAGTTTTTAGGTGCGAGTTCTTCTGAGTCTATAAGTGAATGTGCACCTGAGTCTATAGGTGAGTGTCCTTCTGAGGCTATAGGTGAGTGTCCTTCTGAGTCTATAGGAGAGTGTCCTTCTGAGTCTATAGGTCGGAGTCCTTCTCAGTCTATGAGAAATTCTCTTAATTAATCAAAAGGAAATTAAAACTTCCTCTTCTTTTTTTCACAAAACATTTATCTATAGGATGTAAAGAAGTTTCTAATTTTTACTTCGATAATACACTATACATACTTTCTAATTTGTGTGACAATATTGACGTAAAATCATTTATAATTTAATTAAATTATTTTGTCATTAATGGCTATAACTCATGTCTTAAGGATATATTAAAATGAAAGGTAATTAAGTTTGAATTATTCATAAGATTTATTTACATGCATATGAAAATAAAGACAATAAACGAGAAATGTTCAATAAAAATTTCCAGATATTTTTTAAGATAGAAAAGTTGCTACAAATAAACCATGTAGTTAATTCATAACCTGGATAGTTGATTTACTTTTGTTTTTCATGGTGCTACAGTTGGTATTTATACTGTACGTGTCCTTCAACAGATAGCCTGAAAACAGTGATTGAATATAACAGCTCCCTACGGTACTTATTTATGCATGTACAGTCCCCTTTACTAGTGCGTTTACAGGGGCTCGTCTGGTTTTGTGCAGTGTTGCAGCGCTGTGTTTGTTTACATTCGACAGAAGGAAACTCACAGTGGTAAACATACTATGGAATCAAAGTAAACCAATATTAAAACAAACATCTCATTGTAATGATATGTGGATTGTGGAATGTTTATAATTATCCTTACATAACTAAAGTAGTACAAAGATTATGCAGGTAAAAACAAATTAATTCTATCGTGATATGGTTGAAATGTCTTAAGATTGTCTTAAATTTAATCCCATACTGATTACCAGAGAAAACTGTGAGGTTTAATGACAATTTGACTATTTATGTAAATGGGTTTATTACCAGGATTCTACGTTCTCGTTAAACTACATTAAAATTTAATCGTATGGTGATCTTATTTCCGAAATTCCGATTGGATTGGTCTCTTTTAATACCAGCCATCTTATCCTGGAATATTTGGACCTGCCATAGTGTCCTGGACTTTTATTTTATCACCTAACATCTTATCTTGAACTCTACTTAAATACCTACCACCTTGTCTTGGACTCTTCTACTTAAAGACCTGCCACCAGAAAAGAACGCTAAATATGATAAATACAGAAGGTACTATGAAATATCTATGTAGAGCAAGAATCCTCTCAGATGATGGCCGCTTGGGTGCCCAGGCATTACGTTGTTTAGGATTAAATTTAGTGACAGGCGACGTATTCTCTGTAGAGCCAATACGGTCAGCGATGATGTGGACCATGATGTTACAGAAGAGTACAAAAATGATGAAGAAGAACCATATATCGATGAGCTTGATCTCCGCCGTTTTCGGGAGAGAACTGGAGAGGTTAGCGAAGAGTGTGTAGAGGACGAGTAGTGTGGTGAGAGACATGATGGCTCGAACATTCAATGCTTCGATTTTGACGAAAAGTGTCACCCAGCTGATAGACAAGAGGAGAACCGAGGGTAAGAAAGTTGCTAAGAGTATCACACCCTGTCGACGATTCAACACAAATTGAGCTATAAGTGTGTTTCCTCCAGACTTCTCAGAGAATTTCATATCTTCGACAACAAAAAGAGCCAGTTCTCTCCTCCCTGTGTAGTTGATGTTTCCGTCATCATCAGAAAATTCGACGAAACCTTCGAAATCTGGGGGTAAGGTGAGGTCAATGCTGCAAGTCTGGGCGTCGAAGGGGTAGGAGTAAAGCTCGAAGGAACAGGTGAAGGTGGCGGTGTAACGCTGAGTGATGGTGAGGGAATTGGTGATCCCTGGATACTCCATGTCTGTTAGGAGAAACAAACTGGATGCATTATCAACTATGAGTAGGAATATCAAATATTTAATTTTCTGGATCATAGTCAGACTGTCTGTCTGTCTGTCTCTTTATCATTCTCTGTCTTCTTCACATACAATAATTAACCTACTTTACTGTTGCTAGATAATACTACACTTAATAGAATGCTGTTGATAAACACAATTACAATCGTCTCACGGAGTGTTGTCATTACGTCCTTTTGACCTTCGGCTGTAGTCCAGAACGTGATCTCACTTCACTTGGAAATAAAGTCTAATCACTTTGTGATGGGTTGTTGTTCCAAGAAAGTGCAAAGTTTTAATGATATAGGCTTTTAACTTATTCATATGTGTATTAACAATGATGAGATTTCACACCTCCACCTGCTATAGTCAGCGCTGTCAATCCTCGTCTCTCAGAGGTGTGAACATAAGGAGTATGAACCAGCATCCGAAGCATTCGCTCGTGATGTGGAGTGGGGGACCGAGGGCCGGTGTGAGAGGAGGGTGATGGGCTAGGGGTGCTGAAGAGGGTAGGGGTGGAGGTGGGCGAGAGAAGTGGCCCCTAACCTTTTTTTAGGCTTTGGGCCACGTTTATCATTGTAAATATAGTGGAGGCGCCAAAACTTTGTATCTACAATCAAGAAAAAATCCCATATATACTGTACAGTTATTTGCAGTTTTACACGTCTAACTGTTACCATTTACATACTTTTCCATTTTCTCTTGGATAGGACGTGTGTATTTACCCCAGTAAAAGGCTGGCTCTCTCACAATTTTCTGATAAACCCTTTCGGGCTCCATAATATGGTTCCGCGATCGCCATAGCGCCCGCGAACTATAAGCTGGGGACCACTGGGCAAGAGGAACTGTGTGGCTAGCAAGATTGGACTTTTAATATTTAGAAGCATATAATAAGTTAACCTGTCTCTTAATACCATGATTCACTAAAACTGACTGTGAACTAATATTTACTAATTCTTGCTTTGTGCAAGCAGTCACCAGAAAACAAAGCTTCACATAAACCATATTAACACCACACTCATGATAATGCCCAACAATATTCTCATTTTCTGTAACGCTTGTTGCGATATTTGTGTCGCCTTCGCCTACCCTATTTACTGTACAAAGAAAAATGGAAATTACCACCATGCTAGACATCAGAGTCCATGGAGCACTGCCATGAGAAGGGAGAACGCTACCTCTCCCACCTGGGGTGTGGCAGACAATGGACGAAATGCAGGGCACAGACCCTCCCCGCCTTGTGTCTAAATCTTAGCGGGAGTCTTATTTGCCTTAATGACCCTTGTGCAGTCAATAGGCATTAACCCATGGAGGTATACTAGGGTGGAGGCGGCATCTGCTTGGAGAAGTGAAGCCAACGTGAGCACGCTGTGGCTATCTTGTGGTTGGCAAGAGATTCCCGATACACGACAGAAGCACACACCACCTCACAACGTGCAGGTGGCAGTTTCCTTTCTTTCCTTTGTTTTTGTGGTTATAATGTGTATAATGCCAGTATCCTGCGTTGCAAGGTCTTACATTTCACCAGTAAAAATATATAAAATAATGTAAAACTTACTATAAAATGGAAAATTTAGGCAAGTTTCTGACCGTTAGTAGGTAATGCCGTGTATATTTAGTTTACATTGTATACACAGCCCTTGTTTTCTCATTAGCTATTTTTAGCACAAACAGCATGTACACTGTGTACATATATCAGTGAAATGTACTGTAAGGTACATGCCAAAATTGGTTATATTAATTGATGAATTATATGAGTGATGCTTACTGATTGAGATGCCAATATTGAAAGTAAAATATACACCTAATAATATTTCAGATTTTATTTTTTTTTTTTTAATGTTAATGCACTAGTTAAAATTTTTACAGTTAAATAGGTTCAAAATTTTATTTACATTTTATTGTGCATTGATGTGTTTTGATGTGTCGGAGCAAATATAATTATTCAGTATATGTTCTTAAAAAAAATTCCTCATTATAACAACTTCAACTATAAAGCATTTAATTGTATTGTATATACCAGAAGTTTACATTGTTTATGAACATTAAAAGATTACTTACAAGCCCCCAGCTATGTAAGATACTGTACTGTATGTGTTTGTGCAGATCATAAAGTTTTATACTGTATTATCATATTATATTATGCATCTACGAGTGAGATATGCATACGCTGGAAAACAGTTCACTGCTAAGTTACGAGTTCATGTTGAGGTAAAAAGTCATCAAATATACACAAAACTGATTCATTTTAGTGGTCATTAAGCTCCTGTACTGCAGATCTACATTCTGTTTTCCAATAAAGTTTCTTGTACTAATTGTGTATATTTCTGTGATTAATAAATGTTTAATGTGTTGTCTCATCTGTTCATATTAAATGATATATTTATAAATAAACATTAGCACAATGTGCGCTCACAGTACTGTGAGGAGTGGCGGCTGGCAGCCAGCCCTTGCCAATCAAAAGATGGTGGCAGCGCGGCTGACCAGCTTCACTCTCTCACGCCGCCTCCAGCCTATTATACCTCCATGCATTAACCTGTATTTTGGGTAATTAAGCGTGGCAGAACCTAATTTAAGGGAACTACTGATATTTGTTTAATGAATCTCCATGACATTGGCTGTATAACCAAGTATGACAAGGATATTAAAAGGCACGCTTAATTCATAGAATTGTCAAATTACACAAATATCACGCTACGAGGTGTAATATGTGAAGGTTCCAAGTGTTCCCTGAAGAAGGCAGTGATGGGTAGGGAAACACCGGGTAACACTGAAGTCCATTTATTAACGGATAGGAGAAATACAAGTAGTGACTAGCGTGTGCCTTGCATGACACCCCGAGTCAGACTGAGGCTGCCTTGCCATATGGCAGCCTCGGGGCAATGTTGCCACATAACACGTGCAGTGTTGCCACGTAGTTACATCATATATAAATGCTAATCGGCACAGTAGCTTATGATGGTTTCC